AAGATATGATTAATTAAAAAATTTCTATTTTATTATAACAATTAATTATTTTTGAAAGTATAAATAAAATTTATAAAGTTACCAAAAAAAATTAAGGTATATATTTTATTTGTGTTTTCTTAAGAAATTTGTAAAAGAAAAAGTAGATCATTAATATGAAAAATAAAGAAGGTATAAATTTAATATGTTCTTTTATTTTTCTCTCAACAATTTCATAATCCAAAAACACTTCAATCCACAAATACTCTTCAATAAGTAACTAAAACGGAAAGAACATTTATGATCTTGAAAAACAATTACATAATTTTTGTCTTTTTATACTATTGTCATGAAATTCAAAAATGAAAAACATTCATAAACACCAATATAAATACATATTATTTCCGTCAATTTATACCATATTTTTATTCTTAAAAATCAAGATAGGTGAAATTTAATAAATATTTTGCTTATCAACTTTTCTTACATGTTCTTAAAAAAATTATAAATATAAATAATATTTTTAATAATTTATTCCTTAAAAGAATTTTTGCAATTTTACAAAATTTATTTATAATAAAAAAAATTAATTGTTAGGATTAAAAAAACTACTTATATCTTGATTTTATAAACTAAAAAATAAATTTCAAACAACTATTTTAATAAAATAATTAATATAGAATAGAAAAAATAATATTAAAATAATAAACTAAAAACCTATATAATGATTGTAAATTTAAATCAAAATTCAGTACGTAAAAAAAGAAAAACATAAACTAATTAGTTCAGTGGGTTGATTACATGAATTTTCACTAATTTTTTTTTTCAATTTCACTATCCTCAATTTTCTTGAGTTCATCCAAAAATAAGTAAATTTAATTTTTTCAACATATTACTTTAATTTCCCCTCAAATGAATAGTAATCGAGATATAAAATATATAATAGATACCGTGTGTGAGTTTCAAAGTTTTTTTATTAAAACAAAAAAAAAAATTACACTAAGAATTAACAAGCAAAAAAGAAAATGCAAGTAAGAAAGAAAAAATAAAAGAAAAGATTAAAATTAGAAAAGAAAAAGTAGGGAAATAAGTACATTATGGGTCCCACAATATACATGTGGGACCCATAATGTACTTATTTCCCTACTTTATGTGTGAAAAGATACAGGGCAAAAACGTTAAAAGGAAGAGAGAGAAAGAGGAGAAAGGAAGAGGGAGAAAGAGGAGTGTCCCCTTTTTCTGAAAGGGATCCACTTGGCAAAATATAAATGGGCCTCATACAACTCTTGTCTGCCACGTCATACTTGTGCCTCGCCCAGAATAAAATTTTTCGACAAACACTATTTACCAAATTTTTTTTCAAATATTATTTGGGAAATCTATGGCCAAACGGGCCCTTAATGTTTCCAACCATTTAATAAATTCATTTACCTAACTCAGCTGCTCATCTTAATTACCCCTTCTCTTTCCCCCTTTATAGCTGAAAGAGAAAATAAATAAATATACAATCTCAGTTTTAATCTCTTATACTATACTACCATGGCAGAGCAAAATATTATAGCAGAATCCACCATGGAAGATGCCTACAAGTTCCTCAAAATTACTCGAAATCCAGATGGATCTCTCACTAGAAACCCCCCAGTTCCTAATGTCCCTTCAACCCCAGAAATTGACCCCAATTCGTCAAATCAGCTAATTTCACTTTCAAAAGACTTACCTCTTAATCCGGCCGCCAACACCTTCATACGCCTTTATCGGCCTGTTTCTCCGCCGCCTAACGCCAAATTGCCGCTCATCATATACTTCCATGGTGGTGGATTTTTGCTATTGAGTGTGAGTTCTGTTATTTTTCATGAATCGTGTAATGCCATGTCAGCTCAGATCCCAGCGTTGATTGCTTCCGTTGAGTATCGTCTCGCCCCGGAGCATCGCCTTCCCGCCGCCTATGAGGACGCCGTCGATGCTATCAAATGGGCGAAAGATGAAGCTATTAACGGTGGTGATCCATGGTTGAAAGAGTTCGCTGATTTCTCTAAAGTTTTCTTAATGGGTAGTAGTTCCGGAGGAAATATCGTGTACCATGCAGGTATGAGTGATTGAAGTAAATTAGATGGATAAAAATAAATTGAGATCTAATAATTCACCTAAAACTTAACGTATCTGAATAAGCCTTAATCATTAAGATCTAGAACTATCATCACCGGTCATCACTACTGTTACCATCATCCCACCACCATCCTTGCTAACTACTATTGCTACCACACTTATCTCCATTCATCATTAGGATTATATCTGTTGTTTCCACCACCCCTATCTTTGTAGCTATCGTTATCTCCACCATCATTATCAACCAATATCATCAATATAGTCAATTTTTACTACTATCAAACCCAGCCATGGCAACTAGCACCGTCAGTTATCACTATACATTGTTCGGTCACCACTACTACTTCCATCACTTTTATTAGTCATTATCAATACTATGGTCAATTTCTACTATCAACCACCTCTATCATCATAATTAACACTACTGCCACCTACCACAAACACATCACTAACCATCACTCATTCTTCGGTTACCATCTTCAACATCATCAATTACTAACATCAAGTCATCAACCAATTTCATTATTACAACAACCAACACTACTACCAATCGCCACCATTATGATAGTTGCCACAACACCAATTACCTTTATCGTCACAACTATCATCATCATCATTACTAGCCACTAACAATAACTATTATCATCACCACCATCACTATATATAAATTATCTCCACTGTCACTATTTAATCAAATAATGATTATTATTTTTTAATTATTTAAATTGTATATTTATTGTATACATTCAGATTCATACGTTTAAATTTTAATAGAAACAAATAAGGCGTTAGAGTCACATTTTATGAATTAATTTTGTTACTTGTAAATGCAGGTCTACGTGCACTCGATATCGATCTCGACCCAATCAAGATCGTAGGGTTGATAATGAATCAGCCCTACTTTGGTGGGGTCAAGAGGTCGGAGTCGGAGCTCAAGTTTGTCAATGACAAGATTTTGCCTTTGCATGTGAATGATCTGATGTGGTTGCTTGCATTGCCTGAAGGTGTGGATCGCAATCACGAGTATTCTAATCCGTTGACTAATGAGGCGAAAGTGAAAGAGAAGATCAAACGGTTGCCAAGGTGTTTGATCAGAGGGTACGGAGGAGATCCACTTATTGATGGGCAAAAGGAATTTGCTAAAATGATAGAGTCACATGGGGTGCACGTGACTCCTCAGTTTCTTGAAACAGGATATCATGCTGTGGAGATATTTGATAAAAAATTTGCACAAGATTTGTATGATTCTATAAAGGATTTTGTCAAATCTATTTGTGATGAAAATGTGGGCAAATCAGCCATGTGATAATCACTTAAAATTTGAGTATATGTGTTTTTTCTCCTTTTTTTCCTAATAAGAAAGTCAGCTTGGTATGATATTTACATGGAATGAATTTGAAAATTATATGATCGATCTCAAATTATTAAGAATTGAAGTGTACCTATTGGTGTTGTTATATAAGAAAGTCACTGCAAGAACAATTCATTTCCCATGTTTATATATTAGAATATGTGTTGTAAAATGGATCTTCATATATATATATATATATATATATATATATATATATATATATATATATATATATATTGTGGTAACATATAAATACACACACATTATACAAGGTGTTGTAAATTAGGTTTTATATACTCCAATATATTTGGTGCTCACGTATATCCATGCAAATAGATATCCATATAATATTTTTGATGTCCAAGTATGTGTGTATATATATATATATATATACTCCTCTCTTCTTGTAACAAAGTAAGAAGCAAAAGATAAGAGTAAGTGAAAAGAAAAGCATAAAAAAAACCCTATAAATATTAGTACTATTACTTTGTGTCTCTCTCTTTTTCTCTTTTTTTTTCTTGTCATTTTAATTATATTACACATACTTTATTTTATAACCATATATAGTTTAAGGTTATCTTTTATTTTTCCAAAGATGTATACTGTATAGTACACATATATGTTGCACACTGGTGTTTCCTGCATTTGTCATGTCTCTATTTCCCCCCCAAAAATTTCAAACATCGCAATGTGTGAATTTGATTGGTTATGTAAATGCTCTAAAGATACAATAATCATATATAACTCTCGGTATTTAGGGTTATAATTCGGATACTATCAAAGATTGTCGTAAAGTAATAAATATTTTTTAATTTTGAGATTGTATGAAGTCATCTTTAATAAAAAGCAAAAATAATTTTTTTGATATAAATACTAATTAGTCAAATCTTAAAGTGGATACTCGACACCAAAGGAGAAACTTAAGAAAAAAAAACTCATGAATCATTATTGTAATATTCAGTTGTTAACACATAAAATTATTTCTCATTTCGTTCAAGAGTCTATTTTTGTTTCTTTCTTTTCTTCTTCTTTAAGTTTTTATAGTCATAGTCTCATAGAATTCACTTTGAAACTAGAATATCTGACGAAAAGTGTATATGATATCTTTTTTAAAAAACATGATCACTTGCATACAAAGAAAAGGTTAACCAATGATAAATTAATTATTATTTATTTAATTAAAAAAATTAAATTTTCCATGACAAAAATGTAACTTATTTTGTACTAATAAGAAATTTATTTTGAGTTAATTACATGATCAATTAACTTTTTTTTTTTTTTTTGGTAAAACATACCCTATGTTTTGTATTTTTAGTATTCTTAGAAAATAAATAATGATAACTATTTTTCTAACTTTGATACGGAAAGAAAATAAATATTCTTTTTAATAGAATTTTTTTTCCATATGTTATTTTAATTTTCCCACATCATTTAGGTTTCGGTAAACATCCTGGTATTTTATACTTACTTTACTTATGTTATAGAAGACTCTTTTTAGTTTGCAGATATTTATATAAGTTTATATCAATAATTAAAAAGTTAACCATCTTTTTATTTTGTTTTTTCGAGAAATCCAATGAACAGACGGAATAGGTAAAGATTTGTAGTATTTCTTAGATCGAGAAAAAAACTGTAATTAGACTTCTCTGCTAAGTTTCTGCTGTGTTTGGATTCTCCGGCAAACATTAGTATCTAACCATGACCGGCGGTGGAGGCGACGCCGCATCGCCGCCGCTATCCTCACAGTCAACGCCATCCAACGGTGGGGAATTCCTTCTTCAATTGCTTCAGAATCATCCACATCAACTTCACTCTCGGCCGCAACCGCTGCCGCCGCCGCTGCGGCCGGAGTTGCAGACTCTGCCGCATGATCCAGCAGTTGCAGCAGTAGGTCCTAGTATGCCCTACCCGCCATTGTTCCATACTCCTACAAACCCTTCTGTTTTGCCCTATTCTCACTCTCCTCCTCTGTTTGTACCTCATAATTTCTTCATTCGAGGGTTTCTCCAAAACCCTAATTCTAGCCATACCATTAACCCCAATTTCTCATCTCCGCCTGCCCCAACTGGGTTCAGTCAATTTCAGCATGCGAGTCCACTTGGATTTGGATCAGTCGGAGAAAACATGGGCAATTTGGGGATTTTCGGTGCCAATTCTAAGGCGAGTAATTCAAATAATGAGTTTGATCATAATCTGATTTTTGGATCTTTACGTAGAGATATTCAAGGTAATGTGAGTATGCTGAATGACCGCTTCAGTGATGATTTAGCTTGTAAAGTTGGTAACTTTGAACAGAAAAACCAAGAATCAAGTTTAGCGAATGTTAGGATGTTGAATGGTGTGGAGGGTAAGCTTGAGAATGTCATTGGTTCAGGTCGGAAACAGTTGGGCAATTTAAGGGGTCTTGAGCAACAGAATAGAGGTGGAGGTGGAGGTGAGAGTGAGAGTAGTGGTTTGGGGCAGGGAAGACAGTTTCATAGTGGGACTGTAAGAGGGGCTGTGCCACCACCAGGTTTTTCAAGCAAGCCAAGGAGCAGGGATTTTGAGCATAATGTCGATAATGAGAAGAACAATTTTGTTGAGTTGAACCATAGGGGTATTGGCTTGAATCATAAGTATGAAAGGGAAAGTAAACATCTTACCAGGAATGGTAAGAATTATGCTATCGGTTCAGATGATCAAAGGGTTTTTCGTCAGCTGGATTCACCTGTCCCACCAGAAGGAAGTAAACTTCACTCTGTTTTGGCTTCTGATGTTGAGGATTCCACGTTGGAATTACATGGTGAGGATGCTGAGAGTGGGGAAGAAACTGTCTCTGGGATGAGGAATGTTCTAGGTAGGAGTTCTGCTCAAGGCCAAAGCGATCTGGATGAATTGGGAGAACATGTTATCAGTTCTCTTGGACTTGAGGATGAACCAGAAGAAAGAAGTGATAAAAAGAAACATCATGCCTCTCGTGATAAGGTATTCACTGCCCACATATGTTCCAGATTATATGGGCTTGATTTGGTGTGATGAATGTATAATATTAGTTAGCTTTAATGCGTGTCTTTGTGCTCTTGTGTATGTTAAAAAGTTCCATTGCCCAAATTAAGATTTAAGGTTACTTTTTCAGTGTTTGTACTTTGTAAAAGGAACTTGTTTGTTTAACCTTTTCTCATTTATGCTACAATGTCTCAACTATTTGGTGATATCAATTCTTGTAATCATAATAAATCTTATTTTCCAATGCAATTTCTCGGAATTGTATTAACTAATCCTCATTTTTTAGGGGTCCTAGAGATACTAATCAACATGTTATCTGGCTTTGACAGCATATATTTGTGAGACAGATAAACCCTTGACTGTGAGCAACTGTATGCACCGACTAGCTGAATTTCTAACGCATTGCATTTGAAGGTGTATGTTAAATGCTACTAAAACAACCTCTTTATTTTCTGGTTTCACTACTTTGGATCAAAGTACTTTGAGAGTGAATCAGATTTGACTTAGAAATTCAGATTGATTTTGGATGACATTTTCCTTGTGACATGGATCAGTGTGTCAAACTAACTTGACTTAAATTAGAGTTTGAGGATGATTCGTACACCAGTTGCATGGAGCTTAAATTTGAAATGAAGCACATTTGTTTGAATTGTGAATTTTTTTACTTTGCGGGTAACATTGAGGGGTATTTTCAGTGTATAAGAATACATGCTTTAATGAGGACAATTTTTTTTTTGAAACTGGTAACTTTAGTCTATAAATCCACATGTATACCACAACAAAAGTGTAGCTCCCCTTCAAAAGTGTTACAACTTACAGGGAAAGGCAGTCTTAATCTAAACTGCTGCCTATAAACAATCTAGCACATCAAAGATGTCTTCTGTCCTAGCTAATATATCTTCTTTACACCAAAAATAAAGAAGAGCTAAGCAATTCATTTTGATCTTCTGTAAGCTGTTCTTTACATTCTCATAATTCCTATTGTTCTCTCTTTCCAAATTGTCCACCAAATGCATGCTGGGGCAAGTTTCCATCTCTTCTCCTTATCTGAAGCATTGCCATCTCTATTCCAGCTGCTTAGAACTCCTTTAATGCTCCCTGGTTTCACCCATCTTATCCCCTTTTGACAAATGAACATTCTCCATAACTGTTCTGTCCATGTACAGTGCAAAAAAAGATGGTTAATTGTTTCTACATGCTCTCCACATAAAGTACATCTGGAGGCCAACTGATAGCCTCTTTTGTTTAAATTTCATGAGTCAAAACTGTTTCTTTTGTCAACAACCACATGAAGCAGTTTATTTTGTAGGGTGCCTTTGGTTTCCAGATCATTTTCCATGGCCAATCTGTCTCCTGTCCTGCATTCTTGTTGAGTTCCTTATAAATAGAATTTACTGAGAATTGACCTTTGGTGTCATTCTTCCAAATCAGCAAGTCCTTTTCAGTGAGGTTGCTGAATGAAGCTACTGAATCTTGAAATCTGCCACTTTGTCCATCTCCCAGTCATGAAGGTTCCTCCTTAGGAACAAATTCCATCCTTGTCCAGTGGATAGCTAGAAATTGATCAATTATATAAAAAGGATGTTTGCGTTTTCACCCTCTACTTCTTTTCCAAGCGGATTAAACATCATAATTTTTTTAATTTTTTTTTAAAAAGTCCAACTGTCAAAGTATACTTTCCTTGTTTGTAATCATTACTCTGTTCTGAGAGGAAGACCTACTTGATTGAAAGACAAAAGCTCGAGTGGATGAAAAGTTTGTGGTCCTAGTACATACCCTTCTCTGGTAGATTGGACTGTCTGGATGTGTCTTGGTACATTCTCTAAGAACTTTGTAATCGTGTTCTAATTCTCTAGCATATTGTGTTTTATTGGTGTCTCTGGTGCAATGTTCCAAAAAGTTGAGCAATGTATGGTTGGGGTGAAGAGGAGCGGAGGTAAAATTGAGGAGTATGTGTCATTTGACTCATTTCCCTTGTTTGTTAATGAAGGCAAACAAGTAAGGTGTTAACAAGGTTGTCTCATCTATCAATATCTATGCTATATTAAAAGTGGGAACCTCAAAAGTTAAAAAGCTGAAGGGCATACCCTTTTCATTAAATACCCCAATTATTAAACTAATATATAGTAATTAGCTTATTTTGATTTTTAATGAGGGTTAATTAGAGAACTTGTGAATCGTCACGTCTCTGGAAAAGTTTGGTCAAATGAATATCAGTTACTCATCTATGCTTCAATTCCAAATATTTATGCCTTGTCTAGAACTTGGCTAATCATTTTTGAAGGACCTTCGGAATGGGATAATCATCAGGATCAAGTAAAAACTCTGGTTTTCTCGTCATGGTGATAAATCATTACCTTGCGTGCTCATTTTTTCTTCCCTCAACAAACATACAGAAGCCACAGCAACCATTGTCGAATTCCACAATTAAATAAGCATTGTCTATTATATCAGGCACCTTAATATCGAAAAGAGAAGTAGTTAAAAACTATGTTACTCGGACTCTCCAAAAATGATGTTGCGCCCGTGTCGGATTCTTAAAAAATGCATTACTTTTGAAGGATCCGACACACACCGTTGATATTTTAGAAGAGTCCAAGCAACATAGGTTTGAAACATGTTACATAGGCCTATTTATTAATATAGGCAAGCAAGTGTTGACTCATTTCCCTTGTTTGTTAATAAAAGTAAAAGTGAGGAGTATGTGTCATTTGACTCATTTCCCTTGTTTGTTAATTAAGGCAAAAAAGGAGCTGTGGAAAGTTTCCCGTCATGCCAAGATCTTTCAATAAACTTAACTTGGATGCAAAGAAAGAAGTATAATGATTTTACTTTCTTCCAACTGCCCCAAACAATTGGAAGTTAATCACTATATCTCTTTGTTTTTTAGAATGGTTACAAGTAAATCACTAATATCTCACGAGGTTCCAAATAAATCAGTTAGGAGTCGTATAAAAATAATACTAAATAGAGTGTATTAGTAATAGTAATGCTTGCATTAACAATGCTTGATTAGTTATGTTTGCGTTAGTTATACATAGATTATTTCTTATGCATTGTTTGGTTTGGTGTATTAAAAATAACATGCATTGTATTAAAATATTTGTTTACAAAAATATCCCCCACAATTATGGTGAAAAAGATGTAAAAGGAGTTTTGAGGGGTAATTGGGTCTTTAACCATGTTAATGCATGCATTAAATCTCTTTGCATTATTAATATCTAGAAATCCATGGTATTAGTAAAACACTCCTCAATACACAATAGAGTGTATAATTAATGCAAACATTCGTTATACATAGCACAGAAAAGTTTACCAAACAAGATACTACTAATACATAAAACTAATGTATGCATTATTTTTGCTAATACACTCTACGAAACGCCCCCTTAATCTCTCTATCCTTTCTCCCGACTTTTCTCCTATCCTTCTTGAAACCAAACATACTGTTACTGACTCACTTTTGTGCTACTTTCATCAGGACTACCGATCAGACAAGAGAGGAGCATATATACTTGGCCAGAGGATGAGGATGTTGAAAAGACAGATTGCATGTCGGAGTGACGTTAATAGGATGAATGGTGCTTTCCTAGCAACATTTGAGTCCTTAATTCCTCCGGAGGAAGAAAGGACAAAGCAGAATCAGTTATTAGCACTGCTGGATGGAATTGTTAGCAAGGAATGGCCTGATGCTCGGCTCTATGTTTATGGATCATGTGCCAATTCTTTTGGATTCTCGAAAAGCGATATTGATATTTGCCTTGCAATTGAGGATGCAAATATTGACAAATCAGAGGTATTGTTGAAGTTGGCTGACATGTTGCAGTCAGGCAATCTCCAGAATGTGCAGGTATTTTGAAAAATTTAGCTACTCATCTTTTAATACAATAATATTCATATATGTACCATATATATCCAGAGTATACATGATGACGTGTCTGACACTGGCCAAGCTGGCCTCTAAGAGGGTCTTGGAGCGCACTAGGGTCGGTCTCAGCCAAAGGAGAGCGGGGACCAATCCAGGACTGGCCAGGAGGGGTCTGGTCCAAGGCCGTTTTTAATCTAATAAGTAATTTATGTCCTTGCATATTTCCTGTAGAAAATAAAAGGAATTGGCACGACTATTTAAAAAAAATTCCCTAAGCCCTATAGACCTTGGAAACAATACAACAACAACAATGACATACCCACTATAATCCCACTAGTGGGGTTTAGGGAGGGTAGGATCAAGGATGTACGCAGACCTTACCTCTACCTTTGTGAGGTAGAGAGGTTGTTTCCGATAGATCTTGGAGACAATAAAGGAAATAATTGATACATATGTATACTCACACATATCTATTAAAGGAATACCACAAATTGTCGAATAACTTATAGATGAAAACTTCTAGTTTGATAGAATGACTATTTTAGCTTAAAAGATAAAATACACGAACAGAGCAGAAATCATATGGAGGAGTCTTATAGCTGATTGCAACTACTTTATGATTTGAGAGTGATTGAACTTATAGGTCGAAAATTAATAAACAATTCATTTATTGAGTTGTTTAGATCTTTGCTTGAATTAATACTTTCTTGATTCTATTAACTAACTAATGCTTTGTCTGTTTTTCTTTTTGACGAGTCTAAAACTAAATTTTATTACCCTTTAATATCCCATGAAAGGCACTTTTGACTTCACAACATTTACTTTCATTAATATTATGAATGTCAATTTACGAAAACATGGATTTCACATTTTCCGCCTAATTGTGAGCAAATTTCAAATTTACCTAACAGGATCAAAATCAATAATATGTGGAGGTCAATTTAAAAGATTAAATATTTAATATCAGATCCGACCTGTATTTTGGGCCCCAATGTAATTCAAGTTAACGCACGGGCGGTCCCCAGTGGCGTAGGCAGAAAATTCGTGAAGGGTGTCCAAAGTAAAGCCAACATAGAAAAAAAATGTGGCCATGGGGAATTGAACCTCAGTGGCAAACACACTTTTGCACATTATTTCCACTAAGCTACCACTCTATATACAACAAAGTATTTCTTTTTTTAGTTAATTAACCGCTTTAAAGCAGACCACATTAAACAAAATAAACAGAATGTAGATGCGGTGATTCGAACTTGGGTATTGTGTACGTATTGGGCACACTTTTGCCACTGAACTACGACTCGTTCTTGTTGTTGAGGGTGTCCAAAATGCTTAATATATCAATATAAAGTAAGATTTGGCCTATACATAATGTAATTTTCCGGCGAAGGGTGTCCAATTGGACACTCTGGAGCAACAGTAGCTCCCCACTTGGCGGTCCCTGGCCCTCCCCTTAGTGAGCTGGATTAAGTCTACTTGTCATGTTCGATCCAGAGTGGAGAATCTTATATGCTTCTGATTTTTTATAAGGTCCTTAAGTTATGTGGCAAATTGTTTTTCCTATGGTGCTTCCTTCGGATTTGATTCTGTTCTAGTATGGTCTCTAACTCAAGTTTCCTTGCAGGCGCTTACACGTGCCAGGGTGCCGATAGTCAAGCTTATGGATCCAGAAACTGGGATATCTTGCGATATATGTGTGAATAATGTTTTGGCTGTTGTTAACACGAAGCTGCTTCGAGATTATGCACAAATAGATGTACGATTAAGACAGTTGGCATTTATTGTTAAACACTGGGCTAAGTCTAGAGGGGTGAACGAAACTTACCAGGGGACATTATCTAGCTATGCGTAAGCCTACATTTCGCTATTTCCTTTTCCCTTCTCTTTTTCCTATTCAATTCACGCCTTACCAGGTGACATTATCTAGCTATGCATAAGCATACATTTTCATGCTATTTCTTTTTTGCTTCTCCTTCTCTTATTCGGTAGGCTGACTTTTATTTTCTGCTTCCAGGTATGTGTTAATGTGCATTCACTTTCTACAGCAGCGAAGACCTGCCATCCTTCCATGTCTACAGGTGTGTTTTCTTTAGCTCTGATGTTATGATGTATGCATTGTTGTATGTGAAACTTGTAAGGTGTCACACTACCTGAACCGTTTGATTGGTAAATCATCACTGCAAGGGGAGTGTGCAAAATGTCTGCTGGTTGGTTGAGTGTGGACGGCTTTTTTCATCACTTGTAATTTATTCCTCTAGTCAATGACTGTGAATTCTTAGTTGTTTGATTGAGTTCGAATTGGTTTGGTCAGTCTGTTCTAGTCACATGTACTTTTTTTCATCACGTGCCTCTTCAGTTAAGCATGTATCGTTTTCTGTAAGGAACCAAACTGTTGGTTTCAACATGGTGATTTTAGATTGTGGAAGAACAAAAATTAAAAAGTTCATCATACCTATAGTCTTAGTCCTTTTTTTTTCTCTGTTGGGGGTTTCAGTTGTTCAGTGTCTCTTGCTCTATGTGGAGAGTAAGCTTGAAATTTATCTTCTTTGGGATCTTTAATAATATTTTTCTTCTTAACCAGATGATAGTTTGGGAAAAATCCTGAATTACAGTTGCATTTAATTTCATATTTAGACTTTGGTGTGGCTGTTGACGACACATCTTCGCAGAGGCAGACCCACATGTACCTGGCAACTTCTAAAAATTTTCGCATATATATATATATATATATATATATATATACTCCCTCCGTCCCAATTTATGTGAGGTATTTTGACTCGGCACGAAGTTTAAGAAAGAAAGGAAGACTTTTAAAACTTGTGGTCCAAAATGAATGATAGAAATTTGTGTGGCTGTAAATCATTTCATTAAGGGTAAAATAAACATTTTATAGTTAAATTGTTACTTAATATAGAAATGTGTCATTCTTTTTGGGACTGACCAAAAAGGAAAGTAAGTCATATAAATTGGGACAGAGGGAGTATATATATACACGATAGTATATTTAATTGTGCACCCTTATAATCAAAAGCTGTCTGGGAGCACTGGTCGAAGTCTCCACTTTAAAGTGCCACAATGTGGGTTCGAATCTCGCGAAAGTTAGTATTTTTTGGCCTTTAAAATCAGATTTTTCTTAAAAATTAACCTTTTTAAAAATTGTCTTTATTAACCACTCGTTTTTGCCACCTCATCTGGTCCCACCCTTAACCTTACCCTTGAGTCACTCTTAGTGGTACCCCCTATCTTCAAATCCTAGGTTTGCCTCTGCATCTTCGGATTAATAATCACATCTTCGTCTTAGAGCTAGAGCTATGTAGAGTGTGAAAGACGGTCTATTTTTTTTTTTTAATTAAATAACGATTCAATCATATCATTTTTTTATGGAGAATTGTTTCACCTTAGGTGCTTGCCACCTTCTGCCCTTTGTTTTTTTCTCCTTTGTTAGTTTGTTAGAGTGGAGGGATAGTTTCCATGTAGAGATTTTGATATGCTAATGAACTAGTTGCCTGTTGGATTGTGAAACTGCATTTTCTATTTTCCCTTCTCTTCAATCTTCAGTGTATGATTGTTCAGCGTGGATGCTCATTAAATGCAGACATGCATGTGATACCATCTGAACCTGTATCAGCATTCTGTACTAGTTTAATTTAATCTCACATAAATGATGTAAATCTTGCAATTTGGTCTCATTCTGTACTTCATTATAAAGGATCGGATAGAAAGTATGATTAAGAACAAATATAAGTGATTTGTGCACATGGGTTGAACGAAAAGAAAGAGGTTCCCCAATATGCTTTAGCATGAAACTTGCTGTTCTCCTTTTTTTCCCCATCTAATAATCAAGTATAGTTCATTACTAACATCAGTTAATCAATTCCTCATCGAAAAAAGGAAATCAATTTCTTAATGTGGCACAACACTGTTTTGGAATATTTACCCCTTACATGTGCTATTCCTCGGCCTTGCGAACTGATTTGGACAGTGTCACCTGGCCTTTGATGTATACGAAAATACTTTTCTGCTGCTGTAGTCATGAGGAAACAATTTTTTCCTTTTTGGGTTGAGGTGGTATTCAGGAAATATATAGTTGAAAGGGCATTTCTACGTTCTACTTTGTATGAAGATAGTTATCCTTTCTTCACATTCTTTTTCCCTGTCCTCTTATCAGGGTATGGAAGCAACCTACTCTGTTACTGTTGGCAACATTGAATGTGCTTACTTTGATAAAGTGGAAAAGCTTTATGGTTTTGGATCTCACAATGGTGAAAGTCTTGCTCGGTTGGTGTGGGCATTCTTCAGCTACTGGGCATATTATCATGATTATGCAAATGATGTTATTTCCGTTCGTTCAGGAAGTACAGTGAGGTAAGGCATTGTAACTACTACTGATGTTCTTGTTGATTATATGTTTTTTACCATTTCTCTGAGCGAATTTTCTCCATGTTTGATTATGTACAGCAAGCGAGCCAAAGACTGGACTAGGAGGATTGGGAATGACAGGCATCTGATATGCATAGAGGATCCATTTGAGGTTTCTCATGATCTTGGTCGGGTGGTAGACAAGTTCAGCATAAGAGTATTGAGGGAAGAATTCGAACGAGCTGCTGAAATAATACAGTATGACCCGAACCCGTGTGTGAAACTCTTTGAACCCTATATACCTAGCTGATTTGGCCTTTTGTTCAAGAAAAACAACCAATAATTATAGGAATGTCCGTCGTGCTGTAAATTTGTTATATGTCCCTTCTGGTTTTGGCTTTCACCTCTTAAGTGTATTTAGGCGCTTTTGATCTTCATCTAGCATCTAGGTGTTTTTGATGTAAAGAACTATCTCCTTGAATTCTATGGTTTGTATTCTATTTATTTTGCATATTGTTAAGGCATTGTTGTTCTTTATGGGTTAATCAGCTATCGTTGGACTTGGTTGGGTGATATCAAGACACAGAAACGTATTAGTGAAAGACAGTACTAGAAAAGGAAAAATAGTAAAAATGGCTGCTTTGAAGCTGTTTATTTGGATTTGAGCCACGTATGACATAGCGCGTGTGTGAACCATTTGGGGGTTCAATATTCATAAGTTCGATTAAATTTGAATTTGTGTCGGAAAATCCCATATTATGAGGTAAAGCACAAAGGTGAATCATACCTATGGGGACTCAAACTTGAGTTGGTTAAGGAAGAAGAAATATTTATCACTCCACCACAATCTTTATTACCGAAGAAAAACCTTATTTTTACTTTCTAATATATATATATATATATATATATATATATATATATATATATATATATATATTATTCCTTTGTCCCAATATGTGTAGCATTGTTAAATTTTTTAAGTCAAATGACTTTGCTTGTTGTCTCAACTTTTTACTTATCTATTAAATAGTTAAATAAAATTGTAAATTATTTTGATTTATAGTAAATGTTAGATACTCATATCATAAATATTAGAATAGATAAGTTATTTTTTTTCTTCAATTTATAGTGTTTTATTAGTTCTTCATTTTTTGTATTCTATATGATTTTCAACACTCTTTTAACATCTTGATTATTCAAATTCATGCTATAAAATCATTAAAAGGTGTAGCCCTCCTCTTCAAAAGAGCATGAGCAAAGTGAAAACTAGTCTTGAGATTCCTTCACACAAAGGAGAATATTTTTCATGGAAATTGTTTTTTTTAAAAACATTTTCTTAGATTCAAGTTGATTTCTACTTATTTTTTAGGTGCGGAGAATACAATAAACATAAGAGTAGGAAGGGGTGGGAGGCATTGGATAGGTGCGGAGAATATAATAAACATAGAATATCACTTATAAAATTTGTTTTTCTTATTTCTATTAAAAAAAGTCATATTCCTTATTTTTAAAGAACATGTTTCTCTATATAAAATATTTTTCAAAACTTTTATCCAATCAAATATGAGAAAATAAGAAAATATTTCCCTCCATACCAAATACACTCTTAATCAGAATTCTCGAGTTTTGAGCCTGAGAATGAGAAATAAAAAACTAGTCCAAGAATTTGGTTACACGCGCAGCCTGGCCTGGGAACTTACCGGTGGTTTTTATTCAAAGCTCTATTGTTAATTAGCTTTAATTGTATTAATCATACTTTGCCAATTATACAAGTACTATATTTAAGATAACTATTAAATCACTCCACTTGGAATTTAATTTATGGCTGCTTTTACTTCCAAAATCAACCAACCAATTGCTTCCAACTTACAAGCAATATTTTAAATATTATTATTCTTATTATGTATTATACTTATTGGGATACTATCTAGTATATTCATTTTATTTCATTATTATTAAAATTAATATTCAGATGGTGGAGAACAAAAGAACGTGAGTGAAAATGAACAAAAAAGCTAACGTTGCCAATTTAGACCAGCTACTTTCCTCTCAATCTTGTCTATTCATAATTACAAATTCTAATTATTTGGATTAAATTTAAACCTTATCATATATTGCAAAGAGCGATAATTTTTTTTTTGACATTTAACTAACATTAGATAAGATGGACGATGGAATCAAGAATTAAACTTTATCGATGTAAAACTAATGATAGTAACGATTTTAGTATCTTTCGTTACCATTGATTTCTCTTTTCTAGTATCTTTTGTTTAATTTTTTCCGGACATTTTCACTTTTTATTTGTTAAAGAAATTGGATTGATATACGGTTATGTTAAAACTTGAAGCTATATTAATTGGTTTTTATGAATACTATACTAGATAATGTTTAGTGTTTATTAGGTGTAGCCATTGTCACTTTTTATAATTAACCTTCCTTTTTATTTTTTGGAATTATTGGTACATGTCTATTCTTTCAACTTGAATTGATCGATTATGGGTCCAAATTTCGATAAAAGGAAAAAAATATTAGGTGATTTGTTTCTATTTGTTTTAGTTTCGATAGATAGAGTTATTTAGTATTGTTGGTGATAGAAAGTAACAAGTATAATATATGCTATAGAAATAATCAAAATGCGCAGAAGCTAATTCGGTTTTTTATTTTTTATTTTAAAAAGATCAATTATTCCATGATTTGGTGCATGTTTACTGGCTTTGGAAGGCTAGCTACGCAACCCCCTACAAAAGTTCAAAAATAAATCAGCTTTTAAAAAAAAGAAAGACATAAACATCAAGAAAATGATTTTTTTTTTAAAAAGAAAGAGAGAAAAAACAGACCCTAAGTTTGGGATATGTTCAAAATGGTTTTTTAAATATATGATTGATCAATTTTGATTCTTTAAATTTGTCACAGTTATCATATGTTTGATCTAAATGAAATAATTTAACCTTATCTGATCGCCAGATTTAACAATACATATTATAAGGAAAGATTTAACACATAAACTTATATTTATAGTCGTAGTTTTTACAATTTCTATAATTTTCGCTGAGCAAGATGCAAATTTTGTAAGAAGGAATTATCTATTTTTGATGTTTGGTGCAATTTTTGGATTGTACTTTTAAAGAATTGATAAGACTTTACGGTGTTTCTGATTTTTTGTTCTCTCCCATAACATAAAATATCCACATTTTTTAAAATATTGAAGCAAAACATAAGTGCTCATTTTTATAAATTTAGAAGACCAATGTATTTAAGGCTATCATTTTAAACCTAGCCATAAAGATAATGAATCAAATTTGTCATTTTATCTTCATCATTACAAAAATTATTTTTATTTTGCTTTTAAAAAAAATAAATTAATTGTTTTTCGTTGAATTGTGTGTTCCTATTAAATTTTTTTCATGAGACTTTAATTCCTTATTGACAGTCGTACAATTATTATATATATATATATATATGTGTGTGTTTGACAGAGAAAATAAATAAATCATAGGAACATATAATGCAGTTTCCAAAAATCATAACGTGGAGATTCTTACCATGTGAATTTGTGAGTAAATTGTGCCAAGGTCTTTGGAACAAGTATCAATTGATTGATTTTAATCTACAGCTCAATGGTCAAAACAAACAATTTAAAATTGGATCGGAATATTTAGTATAATTTCTTATATATGTAAAAAAAAGTTCGACCAAGAATAATTTTTGGACGAAATAATATTTCAAAAATCAATTCAATATTGTAAATGGTTATGTCACTGCTTTTAATATTCTTATGTCATAATATTTCAGTTACTATAAAAGTATAAATATTCTTATGTCATAATATTTTGATGACAATAACGTATATATTAATAAGAAGAAAATGAAAAGCTAAAATTAATTAAATTTAATTATAGTTTTCTTTAAAAAAAAAGGGTAAAGTGGCTGTGTGCACCACCTTTCATTGTAAACATCTTCTGGCACAAGCATGCCACTGTCTCCCCTTTTTAATGATTTATTATATTTATATTATTATTATTATTATTATTATTATTATTATTATTTCTGTGATGTAATAAATAATTGAATAATCATAATAATAATAATAATATTCGTGTGTCAGTCATTTGTTATCTCAAAGCTCACTATTTGTTCACCCAATGCCACTAAATGCAGCTTCAGATATAAAATATTTTTTTCTAAAATAAAAAATGGTGTATTCTTTATAATAAAATATTTTGTAGTGGTAAAATTTTAATAGGAGTAATATCTATATTCATCAAAGAATAAAAATGATTTTATTTTGAGGATGAAAAGGAAAAGAGTTGACTTTTGCCTGAGAAATTTCAACAACAGCTAATGATTCCAATGAATCCTTTTTCATTATTGGTGTTTGAATTTATGAGTGTTTAACGGTGAGATTTTGGTGAAATTTATACTAAATCATATAGGAGTAGTAATTAATTTGAGAAAAAAAACTCCAAATACTGCATTATTTTCAAACTAATCCTATTTCTTTTTTATGTATGGACCACTAATAATTCACAATTTGTAAAGTGTATACTCATCGTTCAACCTCAATCTCTACTTTTTCTTTTAATAGAGAAAAAATTAAATTTTGAATCAGTCTTGAATAATGTTAGTAAGTAAGAGTCCCCATTAAATTTATACGCAGTTTTTATGTTGATTGTTGGCTATAAGCCTATAAATTATAATTAAGCGTTAACGATGATAATTTCTTTAAATTTTGAATTTGTCTCTATTTTATTGTTGCGATTTATTTAATTAAATTGTGTGTATATATATCTAATAGCGGACTGGTTTGGATCTTTTCTCAACTAATTTAGTGGCAATCAAATACTCCTCCTTTCATGTTACTCATCCATGTAGGTCTAACACATTTTTTAACAATTTTTTTAATTAATGATGTATTTTACTAAACTAATTTTGTTAATTATATTTTGAAATTATAAATTTGACTAGTACTATTTTATATAGTCATTGAATATTAAGACCAATAGAGAAAAAATTAATTAAACTCTCTTGATTTGTTAAACTAGACAAGTAAAAAAGAAATATCTATTATTGATACAAAATCAAATAAAATAAAACGATGAGAGTATATATATTAATCACTTATTATTTAGTAGTCAAGTGACATGATTATTTTATTTTTTTTAAAAAGTAAAATTTAAAATTTATAGTTTAAAATAGGTCATCGATATTTGTTTGGCTATAAATCATTTCATTAAGGTTAAAATTATTATTTTAATTAAATTATTAATAAATATTTAATATATCATTTTTTTAGAAGGACTAAAAAAATCAGTTATACAAATTGAGACAAAAGAAATATGTAATAATATCTCGATAACTTATTGAGTTATTGTACTTCATTAGAAAAAGATAGCAAATATTTACATTGGCGAAACTAGAATTTTAAGTTTATGAGTTTTGAATTTTGTAACGATAATTTCAAGTGTTAATCACTTGGTTCTAAACATAATATTTAGGTAGGGAAGCTAAAAGTTCGGGTATGGATTCAGTAATTTTTATTTAAATAATGTATTTGTAATACTCTTAAACTATGTGAAAGGAACAAAAATGTCTCCCGTTTATAGTTTGGCTCAAAAATGCCTTAGCCGTAAAAACTTTGGTCCAAAAATTCCCCTATAGTTACTAAATGAGTCAAAAATGTCATTTTTCGAATAGATATATTATTATTTTTCTTTTTAAACACATCTTCTTCCTAATTAAAATATAATTGAAGAACCATGTTCTTGTTTTCTTTCTTTTAAAGCACTTTAACAAATAAAAATGTAAGAATTTTTTTTTTCTTCTTAATCTCATTTTATCAATTAAAATAGAATAACTTCATGTACCCTTTCGACAAATATATAAGATCACAATATAACCATCATTAATTTATATTTATATAACGATAAAAAATAATTATAATAAAAGAAGAAATATATTCATTTTTTATTTTATGAATTGAAGTAAGATAAACATTTGCTAATTTTAAAAAATATCATTACCAAAAAAATATGTTAAAAAGAATATAACAATATTATTTAAAAAATGAATATTTTGACCTATTAAATAACAATAGAGACATTTTTTTGATCAAACTACAAACGGAGGACCTTTTATTCCTTTTGCATAGAAGAGTATTTTTTGAACCTTTTTTATCTTATTTTTATATACACTATCTCACTCTAATTTTCGCCAAACATTCCAAAGGCTTATCCTCTTACTCTAATCAATGACAGAAGCTAAAAGTGAGTTGCCGGAGGTAATAGTGGTGGGGCGGCCAACGATTTTTAAATTCTACGATGAAGAGTTATCGAAAAAATTTAGAATGTTGAAATCATGGGAATCTTCACTTTCATTGGAGAATTATATTTGTAAACATGCTCAATCTGTAAAAGCAATGCTTTGCTCTCCTAAATATATCGGCAGCCAGATTTCTTCCTCCGTGTTCCGCCTCTTACCGTCACTCCGACTTATCGTCACCACCAGCACTGGGCTTGACCATATTGATCTGGTTGAGTGTCGCCGCCGCGGAATCTCCATTGCTAGCGCCTCAACTCTTTTCTCTGAAGATGTTGCTGATTTTGCTGTTGGATTGTTGATTGATGTTGTTAGAAGGATTTCTGCTGCAGATCGGTTTGTTAAGAATGGACTTTGGCCTCTTCAGGGCCAATTCCCACTCGGCTCAAAGGTACGAATGCCATGGTTTTTCGGATCTGATTTTACTTGTTTTTCATTAGAAATCAGATTATGATTTGTGAATACTTGTCCTCTTTTAATGTTTAGAGTTCAATTTACTCATGATATCTCAGCCTCAGAATTTAGGGGTGGTTGGTTAGACCTTTCCTCATCCTAATAGTGTCACAGTTGAGGAAAAGTTTGGAGATTTAAGATCTCTATTTTCAAAATTAAACATAATAACATTTACAATGTAGTCGTTTACACACTTTTGTTTATAGAGATTGATAGAATAGATTCATTCACTACCAGTCAACGGACCAGGTCCCTTGACTCAACAAGAATGATGTCTCAGAAAGAATAATAACAAAAACACAACACAAGTAGCTTACGTGGAAGCTTTCTTGCTCAAGGGAGTAAAATCACGATCTGTCACACAAAATTTTCAACTATTTTCACTAATTTTCCTTAAGCAAAAACGAACAATAGTTACAACCAAAGTGAGAAGAAGTTACTAATCTCACAACCAAGTAATAACTCTATTACTTGAAGAGCCTAAACAGATGCCACATTGCCCACTAAGTTATCACCACTAGACAACTTAAGATTTCAACTAAGCAACACACCGATTGCCCACTAAACCACCCAATACTAGATGACTTAGAAATTGACTAAGCAGCAATGCAATGTTTCCCATAAAATCAGTTACTTCTAATTGATTTGGACTTTTCATCAAACACCAATATCTGAATCCTTTATAGATTTAGGAACAGATTTACAATGTACGTGCAGAAGAAATAATCCTAAGACAACTAAGCTTGCAGCCCTATCAGGTCCCTGTTGTTCTTGATGATGATTCTTCACTTTTATTAGCCTTTGCAAGAGTTCTTGAGAGTTTTCAAGTTGCAAAAACTAGAGTTATGACTTTTGGACATAATCTTTATGAAGAATAGTCACAACCTTCGATGCAATGCCATTGGCTGAGGTTTCTGCCACAGTTGAAGACTGTGCACCAACCAATTGTACTTTTTCCAACCTGGCAGTTGTGTGTATATTTGCGCCCGGGATCAGAGCCCTTTACAAGGTCCCGGAGTTTGTCAAGTCATCAAAACTACAACTAACATTTTTCTCTTTTTTGATGATGACAACTATACACACAGTGCCTACAATTTCTTCATTTCTTCCCCCTGTCAACAAGACCCTTCTACCAACCTAAGCACAAGCACCAATGATTCCCCCTTTTGGCATCATAAAAAAAAGTACAGTAAACTAACATAACAAGTAAGTTTGTTAAGAAAGATCACAGCCCAAGGCAACAACATCATGAGTCTAAAAAAAGAAAAGCAGAAAGAGATAGAAATTAGTCACAACAAAACAGGAATCAATATCATAGCACAAAAGTCAACATTCAATACATTTAAATTAAACTGAGTTTGAGAACCACCTTGGACACTGTCCACACAAAAATAAATACAAATGAAAGGACTATGAGAAAGGAGGCTGATGGGAAAAGGACTTGATGATACGAGTGAGTCTGGTATTTATTTCATCATTATCTTTGATCGCTTTCTCTTGAAGAGCAACAATTTTGGCCAGGAGCACCTCATTCTGTTTCCTCGACTCTATAACTTCTGCAGTACCAGGTCCCTATGTTTGTACCTTGAGCAACGCAACTTTTAAAATAGCAATTTCAGCATCTCTGTTGCTCACACACATAGTCATCTCTTCCAACTCATGTTTCAGCTGATCTTGTTCCATTATCAACTGAGATACCTTTCTCAGTGGATTTCCCTTTCCTTCTATACACTCACATTCCACCAGCGTACTAAGGGTAAATGATTGTATAGCAGTTCCAATTTTACCTGCTTCCATTGGTATGTTCAGATGATGAAACACCTTGGTCAAAAAGTAGACATACCCTATGCTATGTTTACCCTTGCGTTCAACCACAGTCTTGTCTATGTGCTCTAGCATAAGGGCTGGAAGATCTATTGGATCAAACTTGCAAAGTGACTCCATGATGAACAGATCAGATGCAGAAGCGATAGTTCGCTTTTCTGTTCGAGGAAGAAGCACCTTGTTGATTCCCTGGGACATGCTTGGAATCGTGCACACATTCTTACACTGAAGACAATGTCAGGTCTGCTAGCTGTTAGATACAACAGTGATCCAATAATCCCTCTATACATGGTTTGATTCACTAATGGATCAGTCTTATCTGCTCCCATTTTTGAGTTTGTACCCATGAGGGTATCAATAGGTTTAGAGTCCACCATGTGAAACTTCTTCAGCAGCTCCTTTGTGTACTTCTCTTGGCAAATTGAAGTACCACTTGGTGTTTGCTTGATCTGCAAACCCAAGAAATTTTTAGCTCTCCCATCATGCTCATCTCGAATTCATTCCCCATTAGAGTAGCAAATTCATCACACAAATGTTCAGAGGTGGCTCCAAAAATGATATCATCCACATACACTTGGATGATTAGCAGATTTTGTTCCCTCTTCATAAGAAACATGGTGTTGTTTATCTTCCCCCTTTTAAAACCATTCTTCAGTAGGAATTTGGACAACCTTTCATACCAAGCTCTAGGGGCTTGTTTCAATCCACATAAGGCCTTGTTCAGCTTAAACATATGATTTGGTAAGTCAACATTCTCAAATCCAGGTGGCTGTTTCACATACACCTCCTCTTTCAGGTCTCCATTCAAAAAGGCACTTTTAACGTCCATTTGGAAGAGCTTGAATCCCATGAAAGCTGCAAAAGCTATAAGAATTTTGATGGCCTCCATCCGAGCAACATGGGTAAATGTTTCATCATAGTCGATCCCTTCCTCTTGATTACACCCTTGAACAACCAGTCTAGATTTGTTTCGTGTTATGACACCCCCTTCATCAAACTTGTTTATGAAAATCCACCTGGTCCCTATGATAGTTTTGTCAGCAGGTGTGGAGACCAGGTACGACACATTACTCTGCTCAAACTGATGTAGCTTCTCTTGCATTGAATTGACCCAGTCAGCATCTTTCAGGGCTTCTTTCACATTCTTAGGCTCAATAGAAGAGATGAACGCTGAGAATGCAACCATATTTCTCGATTTGGACCTGGTTTGCATACCAGAGTTTAATAGGGAGATGAGATTCTCAAGGGGGTGAGATGAACTGTGCTTCCATCCAGGTTTAGATACCAAAGGTTGGGGCTGATTCGTCTGTTCTTCTTCTTCTTCTTCTTCAGAGTCATCATTCTCAGGAGAATGAGTTTCTTCTTGACTTGCAGCATGAGACTGACCAGGTCCCTCAGTAGGCTGGACATCTTCATTTATCTTCTCAGATGGACCAGGATTAGTGCTATTGGAATCTTGTTTTCCTTCAGCTTCAGGCAAGATAGCTTCATTATTCTGAATTTTGAATAGCTCGTTAAGATCATCATCGTCCTTCATCTCCAAGCTCTTCAAATCACCACTTTCATCGAAGACCACATGAACACTTTCCTCAATACACCATGTTCTTTTGTTGAAAACCCTGTAGGCTTTGCTTGAGGATGAGTACCCCACAAACACACCTTCATCACTTCTGGGATCAAACTTTCCCAGATCATCCTTGCCATTGTTCAACACAAAACATTTGCAACCAAATGTCCTTAGATAACTGAGCTTGGGCTTCTTGTTGTTCAACAAATCATATGGTATTTTGTTCAGAAGAGACCTAATCAAGCACCTATTAGTCACATAACACACAGTGTTGATTGCTCCAGCCCAGAAGTTTTGAGGCAGATTTGACTCGATAAGCATGGTTCTGGCGATATCAACCAGAGTTCTGTTCTTTCTTTCCACCACAACATTTTGTTGAGGAGTTCTGGGTGATGAGAAGTTATGATTGATACCATTTTCTGCACATAAAACATCAAGCTTAACATTTTCGAATTCCGTTCCATGGTCAGACCTGATCCCTGCAATCAAGCAATTTAGCTTGGTTTGGATCATTTTGAAGAAAATCATCAGCACGTCAGTTGTCTCTGACTCTGACTTGAGAAACATAGTCCACGTGAATCTTTAGTAGTCATCCACTATCACCAAAATATACTTCTTTCCATTTCGACTTTGGATTTTCACAGGCCCACACAGATCTATATGTATCAGTTCAAGAACTCTTGAAGAGCTTACTTGCTTCTTTGGTTTGAATGAGGATCTGGTCTACTTCCCTTTGACACATGCATCACACACTGTGTTATAGCTGAACTTCAATTTAGGCAAGCCATGGATCAGGTCCCTAGAAACCAGCTTGTTCAATAAAGACGAGCTCAGATGACTTAGCCTCCTATGCCACAAGTCGGCATTTGCACTTTGAGCACTTAGACGTGTCTGATCGTTTCCATGAACTGTTTCCCGTGCTGCCACATACATGTTTTTCTGCCTTCTTGCCATTAAGATCACCTTCTTGGTAGACAAAATGGTGACGATGCAATTTTCTGATGTGAACTTGACTTCGTTTCCCTTATCACATATCTGAGAAACACTAAGAACACTGTACTTTAACCCACTCACATAATTCACATTTTCAATAGAGCTTTTAAGAGATTTTCCAATCCTGCCAACTCCAAGGATATACCCTCTTTTTCCATCGCCAAAAGAGACACCTCCTCCTTGAAGTGCTTTGAGTGAAATGAAGTTTTTGGTATTTCCAGTCATGTGCTTTGAGCATCCACTGTCCATGAACCAGCACTGACTTCTGCTTCCTTCACCCACCTGCAATAGAGATTATTTGTTAGACTTGGGAACCCACTTTATTATGAGTTCCCAAAAGGGTGATAGGGGAGTAATAAGAATATTTCTTGCCCAATGAGGCAGATTGGTTTTCTTCTTGTTCCAGGACTTAGACATGGGAGCAGGTCCCCCTTTTTGAACCTTTTTTCGTCTAGAATAAACTGAAATTTTTTCTTGTAAGGCCTTCCAGCCAGGGCAATCCCGTTTCAGATGGCCATTGCGACCACAGTGAAGACACAGTAAATTGTCAGAAACAAATACATATTTACTATGAGGATTGTAAGGAAGATTAATGTTCAAACTACCCAATCCCTTTCTGTTGTAGTTGTTTTGACTTGTGATGTTAGAAAGCAGTTTGGTGGAACTGGTCCATTTTAGAAAAGTTTGAAGTTCTTCTTTAAGACGGACCAGGTCCCTCTCCATCTGATCGTTTATTTCCAAGGCTAGAGCAAGTCTGGTCTCAGCAGTATTCAAATTTGCTTCTAGCTCTGGTTGCAAACTAGTGGCCTTCCCTTTTCTTTTCCTAGATTTCTCAATCATTATGCTTAATTGATTTTTGAGTTCTAGATTTTCAGCTTCTAGAACTGTCAAATGTTCCTCGATGAGTGATATGTGAACGGCTGTTACTGTCTTTTCTTCACCAAAAAGATCTAGGTTAATGTTCATCGAGTCTTTTTCAGTGGTTAACTCTATGACAGACTCAATCAAAACATTTGCTAGATTTCTCAACCTTATAACAAAATAAGAGTTCAAGTTTTGTTTAATATCGAGGAGAGTTGCCTTATTTTCATCGTCCTCGTCATCTGATTTTGCCAGAGGGCAAACAACCCATCAAACACGTTAGCATCATCTTGAACCGTCAGCATTGATGCATCATCAGGGCATTCTGACTCTCCTTACTCACTTGAGGACTCTCCCCAAGCAGCAAGAGCTTTCTTCACAACATAATCAGCTGCAACTTTTCTTGCATTCTTCTCAGGTACCAGGTCCATCCTCTTATCTTTTTCACCTCTAAGTTTTTGATACTCTTTGTTTTCAGCTTTAAGCATTGGGCAATCTCTTATAAAATGATCTGTCATTCCACACTTGTGACAAAGGTCACTAGCAGATGCAGTCCTACGAGGATTCCCTTCTTTTCTAAACCCTCCATACTTTCTCACAATTTTCTGAAATCTCTTGGTCAGATAGGCCATGTCATCCTCTTCACTTGAAGTTTCACCTGGTGTGATTTTGAGAACTAAGGACTTATCTTTCTTGGCTTCCTTCTTTGAGATGTCTTGATTTTTGTTCATTTCATGGGTCTTGAGGTTTCCAATGAGAGCATCTATTGTCAACCCTTCAAATCCTTGGCTTTAGTAATAGCATCTACTTTGCTTGCCCAGGACTTAGGAAGAATTCGAAGAACCTTCCTAACTTGCTTACTAGTGCTGATGGGCTCACCCAGACTTCATAGCTCATTGGTTATGGAAGAAAGTTTAGTATGCATTTCATGATTGGCCTCTCCTTCCTTCATGGTGAAGTGTTCATATTGAGTGGTCAACATGTCCCCTTTGATTCCTTCACCTGCTCTGTTCCCTCATGAGCAGTCCTTAGACAGTCCCAAATTTCCTTTGCGGACTCACACGCAGTGATGCGATTGCACTCTTCAGCACAAATACCACATACTAGCAGCTTTTTAGCTTTATAGCTTTTTTCGATCTTTTTTCTGTTTTCCTCGTTATACTGTTGTCGAGTCTTTGGAACAACTTTTGTTATTTCACCATCCTTGACTTCAGTGGTTGGAATGAAGGGTCCGTCTAACACCTTGTCCCATAGCTCGCTGTCTTCAGCCATTAGGTAGTCATGCATCCTTGTTTTCCACCAACTATAAAACTGGCCAATAAAGTGGGGTGGTGGTGTAGACGATTGTCCTTCTTCTAGGTTCAACAAAGCAGCCATTCTTATGCAGGAACCTCTCTCTTGGTGTTAACCAGCTAGAGAGAACCCTCTCTGATACCAATTGATAGAATAGAATCGTCCACAATCAGTCAACAGACCAGGTCCCTTGACTCAACAAGAATGATATCTCAGATGAATAATAGCATAAACACAACACAAACAGTTTACGTGAAAACCTCCTTGCTCAAGGGAGTAAAACCACGACCTGTCACACATGATTTTCAACTGTTTTCACTAATCTTCCTTAAGCAAAAGCGAACAACAGTTACAACCAAAGTGAGAAGAAGTTATTAATCTCACAATCAAGTAATAACTCTATTACTTGAAGAGCTTAAGCAGATGCCACACTGCCCACTAAGCTATCACCACTAGACAACTTATGATTTCAACTAAGCAACACACTGATTGCCCACTAAACCACCCAACACTAGATGACTTAGAATTTGACTAAGCAGCAATGCAATGTTTCCCACCAAATCGGTTACTTCTAATCAATTTGGACTTTTCAACAAACAACAATATCTGAATCCTTTATAGATCTAGGAACAGATTTATAATGTACGTGCAGAAGAAATAATCCTAAGACAACCAAGCTTGCAGCTCTATCAGGTCCCTGTTATTTTTTAGGATGATTCTTCACATTTGTTAGCCTTTGCAAGAGTTCTTGAGAGTTTTCAAGTTGCAAAAACTAGAGTTATGACTTTTGGACATAATCTTTATGAAGAATAGTCACAACCTTCGAGGCAATGCCATTGGCTGAGGTTTCTGCCACTTCTGCCACAGTTGGAGACTATGCACCAACCAATTGTACTTTTTCCAGCTTGACAATTGTGTGTATATTTGTGCCAGGGATCAAATCGGGGTCAGGTCCCTTTACAAGATCCCGGAGTTTGTCAAGTCATCAAAACTACAACTAACAAAGAGATTTTATCTCTACAATTTTAATGTTTTTATTAGTTTTTAATATGTAGTCCAGTTGGTCAAATTTCATATAATAATATTTTGATTTTTAGTATAAGTTTTTGTTATCTGATTTATCGATATCATGATTTGTAATTGTAAGCTTCTGCATGACGCCCTAATCACTTTCCAACCCAACACTATGATGTAGGATTGCAAGCTCAACCATCAATTGTCCTTGGGTTCATGTCAACCCTTAGTTGGCTACTAGGACTACAACACACAACCTTATTAAATCAAAAATTGACATTTATGTACAATGTAATTTTCTGTGTCAAGCGTGTTGGTAACAATTTTTTTTGTGGATTTTGCATTACGAAATGCGTATTCTTGACGATGGCAGGTGGGAAGCAGGAAAGTTGGAATTGTTGGGCTAGGAAGCATAGGTCTAAAAGTTGCACAAAGGCTTGAAGCATTTGGCTGCACTATATCATACCAATCGAGGAACAAAAAACTTGTTTCTTACCCTTTCTATCCTGACATTTATGAACTAGCAACCAAATGTGATGTCCTAGTCATTTGTTGTGCATTGACAGACCAAACCCACCACTTGATCAATAAGGAGATTCTACTGGCACTGGGAAAGAGAGGAGTAGTGATTAATATTGCACGAGGAGCCATAATCAATGAGATGGAGTTGGTACAATGTTTAGAGCAAGGAGAGATTGCAGGTGTTGGGTTGGATGTTTTCGAAAATGAACCTAATGTTCCTAAAGAGCTCATTTCATTGGATAACGTTGTGCTCACACGACATATTGCTACTTTTACTGAGGATTCTATAAGAGCTATATATGAACTCGTGTGCGGAAATCTTGAAGCTTTGTTCTTTAACAAACCTTTGATCACTCCTCTTTTGGATTAGCTAAAAGCTCAATATATTTATCAAGGTTGAAAATCATTGTTATATTTTGATATTTATCCACTTCTCATTTTGGATTTTGTCCCGTTTAAGAAGAATTATCGAAATTTATTCTGTTTGATTTTAGTATTTGAGTTTCATTTTCAGCCTGTGGTTTCTCTGGTGTGGTGTTAAAGGGTTTCTTCGGAGGGTATTTTGGTTGATTATGATTACATGTAGCCTCTTCTCCTTTCCTCAATTTCTCTTTTACTATTGTGTACTCTCCTATTTTTATTTTTTTGTGTAGTAATATTTGTGGCCTTATTTACTTTGTATCATTCAGCTATTTGGTTATTATATTTTTCTTGCAGTATAATCTTACTTCGATAGCATTTTTTTTATTTGAGAATTTATCGGAAATAATAATCTTTCGAGGTAAAATCTGCATACGTGCAACATCAACGATCCGACTTGTGAAGTTGTTTTTAAGTTGTATTATCGTTGCATGCACATCTTTCTACTGCCACAAGTTACAAATTTTGTACACAATTTTTTCACGAGTCAGGAGCCAAAAGGGCAAAAAAAATTGTCAAAAATTCCAAAATGACACATCAAATTTTTTTAAAACCAAAAGGGAAAAATCGCTCCTGACGAAGTGATTTCCCTCTGACACAATGACTAAAAATCGTTGCCTTTGGTTTTAAAAAAAGGCAGTGATTTTGTCCAAATTTTTTTTTCTTTTTTTTTATTAAAAATCACTGCCACAACAGTGATTTTAAGTCAAATTTTTTTTTCCTTACACATCGCTGCAGGGGCAGCGTTTTTCATGCCTATTGTTAATTATTAATAATAGAAAAATGCCTATTCATGCCTATTGTTAACCAAAATCGCTGCTATAGCAGCAATTTTGAAGAAAAAAAGTATTTATTTTTTTTGAGAAAATCGCTTCCTTAGCAACGATTTTTATTTTTGTTAATGGACGACGTCAACTTTTGTCAGAAGAAAATCGCTCCTGACGGATCGATTTTACCCTTTGGGTTAATTTTTTTTTTGATGTGCCGTTTTAATTTTTTTGATAGAAAAAAGTTACCCTTTTAACTCCTGTACAACATGTCAGTTTTTTTAAATCTAATCTGTAATTCTAGTGGCTTTTAAGAAAGTTACAAACAAGTATCGTCATCTTTGTTTTTTTTTAATATATTACTATATAAGAAGAGTGAATAAAATTCACTCTTCTTTTGACACGCGGCACCATGGCCCACCTACTTTTATTTTATTTAAATCATATATCATATATATTACTATATATAATATATTACTATATAAGAAGAGTGAATAAAATTCACTCTTCTTTCGACACGTGGCACCATGGCCCACCTACTTTTATTTTATTTAAATCATATATTATATATATTACTATATATAATATATTACTATATAAGAAGAGTGAATAAAATTCACTCTTCTTTCGACGCGTAGCACCATGGCCCACCTACTTTTATTTTATTTAAATCATATATCATATATATTACTATATATAATATAATAAATATAAGAAGAGTGAATAAAATTCACTCTTCTTTCGACACGTGGCACCATGGCCCACCTACTTTTATTTTATTTAAATCATATATCATATATATTACTATATATAATATAATTAATATAATAAATAATAAATATAAGAAGAGTGAATAAAATTCACTCTTCTTTCGACACGTGGCACCAAGATGGCCCACCTACTTTTACATTTGGTTTGAGGAAAAGACCGATCACAGCAGATTTAGAGAGACCCTGAGAACATAATTATAGTGCATTAAATATTTCGAATATCCAATGAACTACAGAAACTGTCAGCAAGCATATTCATGGATGGTTTGTAGTCAATTGTGTACATGATTGATCATATAGCTTTTTTATTTGGAAATAGAGTTTGTTAAGTTGGTATTTAATAAAAACATCTCATTTCCTTTCCTTCTCTAAGGAATTCAAAACATCGAGAAATAGCTATTCATGTTCAACAATAAGAAAAGTTTAAGAACCTTTTGTATCTCTTCTTGGAACCACAAGGACAGAATGCATTCCTACTAGTTTGCCCACTCTTAGCCATGTTTGATCGTGCAACATCCAGCGGGGATGAACCCATCAACTTTTGAACCTATATATCAGAAGAACCTATTATAAGTATGTCAACATCATATAACCATGGAAAAGGAAGCACCAACAGTAGAACATATTATATGTGTTCTTTTCTCATGCTCTATAGAGACTGCAGAATCCAAGTATTGGAAGAGGAGTATCTTAACTACTGCTTAATTTCCAGTACATCCCGTAAATCCCGCATGGACCAGAGAGAACAAAAACATACACACTTCACAATGATACACATGCACCGAAATTACTGGCACTACAGCTGAAAATTTCTTTTTATATTATGCACATATAGCATATTGCATATCTGTACAATGCAACCAAAAATCTCACCCAGAAATTAAAGAATCAAACAACCAGAAAAATAAAAAATGGTACATAGAAGATTTAAAATATAAAAAGGTAAAAACAAAAATATTACTCCTTTTGTCACATTTTATGTGAAGAAGTTTGACTGGACATGAAGTTATAAGTGAAGTACTATATGTGCCCTTTCTACCAACAATAAAACTAGAGACGGTAAGAGTTCCATGTGTCTTTTCATCTTTCTCTCTCCCTATAATAATGTCATATCTTATAAGAAATGGAGTCCCGATAAATCATGCCATTAAAGTTAAAATGATTTCAAGATTAAATAGTTTTCAAGCATAGATAATGCACCAATCTTTTTGGAACATCCTAAAAAGGACCGTTCTTGAAGGAAGCTAAGAAAAAAAGTGAAGATGCCACAGAACAGCAATCTGAAATGCAATAAACAGTACCTCGGCCATGCTCTTTGGCAATGGCTTCCCTTCTTCCTTCATCTTCTCAAGTTTCATTTGTGCTTCTTTTGCCCAAGTAAACTTTGCCAACATATTCTCGACATCAACTATGGTGCACTTGCAATGTTTTGCTGCCTGTTGCTTTTGAATTGTTTGAAGATTCTATTAAAAAAGAACCAAAAAAATTAATGAAAAAAAGGGCTCCAATAGGTTATCCAAGTCTATTCACATTAACAGTTTTCTTCCATCTCTCCTACACATGACTACTAGCTTACTAAGATTGTCTTTCACATTATTTACTGATCTATTCTTTTTTTTGAAATTGGTAACATTGGTATTGAAAGCACTAGGGCAGTGCGGAAGCCATATTTACATAGAACATATCACCACAAGTCCACAACCGAACAAACTCCTAGAAACAATTACAGCTACCCTATCAAATCTACTAAAGAAACCTCCTCCTCTAATAAGCATTCTTTACACCAAAAGTGGAACATTATCCTGCATATGACTGCCCCTATCTTAAAAAACTCTGGAGTTTCTCTCTTTCCAAACTGTCCACTATATACAAGCATTTACTAATATATTCTATTTGTTACAAAAGGAGTTTCTTTTAATTTCTTTGGGTTAAGTTATGTGAAATTTCATTTAAATGCACAAAGAAGGTGCACAATATATTACATAAAAGGACTTTGAATTACCCTTCGGGGTGGCCCAGTGGTTTGGGCTTGGGACTTCCATGTTGGAGGACTCAAGTTCGAAATCCCCTGCCATCAAAAGCAAGGGGTTTGCCTTCTGGGTCGAGCTCGTCGCACCAGGATTGCCTAGTGCGGGTTACCTCTCCTATGTGGTTTGCGAGCTATTTCATAGGAGCGGGGTTTTCACCCTGTGCGCACCCAAAGGGTAGCGATTATGGGTTTCCCTTGTCATCAAAAAAATAAAAGGACTTTGAATTCCCTTTTTCCACTGTAGGGAATCTATAAATCCTTCACAGTTGCATAAATAACTAAAGTCATGTACCACTATAAGTTCAGACTTTGTAAAAAATTAAATCTAAAGCAAAAAGTAGCTGTGATTTCTCTTCAAACATTTATTATTTCTTTCCCTCCCGACTGTTCATCAAAAAATACATGCTGTTTCTGCCTGTCATGTCTTCATTTTTCAACTTTTTTCCCTTGCTAGCTTTCAGCTGCTGCCCTAACTGATCCTGGCAAGACCTAATATGCTCCAAGTATGTTTAGGAACACACACCTGAATTCCCAAGCATAACCACAGTGCAAAGTGACCAGGGGTTTCTGCAGTTCTCAAGCACAGAAAACAACTCCTACAACAATTACCCCTCAATCCCAAACAAGTTGGGATCAACTATTATGAATCCTCAGTTCCTCACTGTCCATGTTATTCCATTTAAACTCTTCTCATGCCGATATTATGTAAATACAAATAAAATCCTCTTCTCTACACATTCTAAGTAAGACAAGCTTCATGCATAACTATTCACTCAAAACATGTTGCTTTAGCGTGGAAAAGGGCTTTTGACCTCCATACCATATTCCATGGCCAACACTGTTCCATTTCCTCTGTTCTATGTAAGCTGTTGTAACATGATTTAACAGAAAATATAGCATTTTTGTTTGGTCTGCTTCTAAGGATCAGAGTTATCGTGCAGCTCCTTCTATTTCTCAATTATGCATATTAGTTGAGTGGCAGTCTACCTTGCAGTCATTAGATAGCTCCTGACATAAGTTAGGTCCCCATTTCCCAATATGCATACAATAGTTGCATTCTGATTCATCACAATTGTGTAGAGATATGAGAAGCTTCGCCTAACGGATTTCTTTTCATTCCATTCATCTTGCCACATCCTAATCTTACCCTCTAAGAAAAATTTGATTAAATGTTGGAACTCCTTCCCGGTGCTTTCTTATATTTTTAGAGAGTCCTTTCCAAGCGCTTGGTTGTTGACATTTATAAAGTCCTTACCTGTTTAGAAAACACTTCTCTTCCATCTCTCCTACACAAGACTACTAATTTAATAAGATAAAATGTGAAAGGTTTCACCTCGGTTTATAAAAATACTTCATGAGGACTCATTATTTATGGACAAGTATTGTAAAACTCTGTTTCAGACTTTCAGTGCACCAAGAAAGTGAAAAACATCTACATAGAAAAGAACTCTGAATTCACTTTTAGCACTACGATGAATCTATTTAACCCACAAAAGAATTACACAATGAACAAAAGACATGTTACACCAATTAAACGCTATAACACCTATACTTCAAGCAAAAAATAGTCATGACTTTGTATTCAAAAGATCTATGAATTCTTTCTTTGGACATTTAGCAAAAACTATTTGTTGGTGTACTGTGACTCTCATGCGTGTCTGCTTCTCCTTTCAACTTTCGGCACTTGCCAGCTTTCTTTATTTTTTAGTACTATTTAAAAAGGAAAAAATTAAAATATAATGAAAGAGGAGTGTATAAAAGTAGGTGGGCCATATTTGTGATAGGTGGGCCATCTTCAAAAACCAAATGTAAAAGTAGGTGGGCCATCTTGGTGCCACGTGTCGAAAGAAGAGTGAAGTTTATTCACTCTTCTTATATTTATTATTATATTAATTATATTATATATAGTAATATATATGATATATGATTTAAATAAAATAAAAGTAGGTGGGCCATGGTGCCACGTGTCGAAAGAAGAGTGAATTTTATTCACTCTTCTTATATAGTAAAATATTATATTAATTATATTATATATAGTAATATATATGATATATGATTTAAATAAAATAAAAGTAGGTGGGCCATGGTGCCACGTGTCGAAAGAAGAGTGAATTTTATTCACTCTTCTTATATAGTAAAATATTATATTAATTATATTATATATAGTAATATATATGATATATGATTTAAATAAAATAAAAGTAGGTGGGCCATGGTGCCACGTGTCGAAAGAAGAGTGAATTTTATTCACTCTTCTTATATAGTAATATTTTAATTTTTTCCTTTTTAAATAGTACTAAAAAATAAATTTAAAATATTACAAATTCGATTAACTCTCAAAATTTTACGCGAATTGTATAATTAAGACGAAGGGAATAACATATATTATTTGAAAAATTACTATATAATTACTACTCTTCTTATATAGTAATATTTTAATTTTTTCCTTTTTAAATAGTACTAAAAAATAAATTTAAAATATTACAAATTCGATTAACTCTCAAAATTTTACGCGAATTGTATAATTAAGACGAAGGGAATAACATATATTATTTGAAAAATTACATTAAGAATACCATAAACCACAATACTTAACAACTTACAATATTTGAAAAACATATTAACTCTCAAAATTTCACATGTGTCACATAAATTGGGACAAATGGAGTAACATATATTATTTGAAATTACGTTAAGAATATTATTAATCACAACTTAAAGTATTTAAAAATACATAACATATATTATTTGAAAATAATGTAAAAAATATTATAAATCATAATAATTAACAATTTAACGGATATTGTGCCCGTGCTTCCATTTAGAAGTGACAATGTTTAGGAGCTTAGGGTTAGTTAGTCAATTGACCGATTTGCCCTTCTTCTTCAACTTCCTCTATTTACTACAAAAATAGTACTAAAAATCAATTTAAAATATTGAAATTTTGGTTAATTCTTGAAATTTCACATGTATTGCATAATATAATAGAGTGAGTAACATATATTATTTGAAAATTATATAAATAGTACTAAAATATAGTTTAAAATAGTACTAAGAATTTGATTAACTCTCGAAATTTCATATGTACTGCGTAATTGAGATTGAGTGAGAAATATATATTATTTGAAAAATAGAATAAATATGTGATATTATTAGAAAGAGCTTTAATATATATTTTAAAAATTATTTTGTCTTCCGTATATGATTTTCTGCATATATGTGGAGTTTTAAAGTTTTTAACATTTTAATATAGAAATATGATTATTTGAAAATTTAGTACTTTCTTCATTTAAATTTTTCCTTGTTTTTCTTTTAATTTGTTCTAGATTTAAAAATTACATAAAAAGTACTTAAAATCACAATGTAATAATATAAGATATTAAAAAAACATAATTAAAAATCATAAAAGAAATTTTATTGACTCTTTAATTCCATATTGAAACAAAAGAAGTTTGTTTGAAAATAACATAAAAAGTAACGTAAATTAAAGTAAAATAACAACTAAAAATATTTAAGAATCATATAAGAAATTTAGTTGAGTTTCGTAAAAGTACCTACGTCACATAAAATGGAACAGAAAGAGTAATATATATTATTTGAAAATGATATAAGAAGTGCTATAAATCACAATAAATTAACAACTTCAAAATATATTGAACAAAATCACATACAAAAAATTATATAACTCTCCAAATTTCATCGGTGTCACATAAATTGAAACAAAGAACTACTCCCAATTTATGTTATTTACTTTCCTTTTTAGTCAGTCCCAAAAGAATGTCACATTTCTATATTAAGTAACAATTTGATTATAAAATATTTATTTTACCCTTAATGAAATAATTTACAGTCATACAAATTTATATCATTCATTTTGGACCACAAATTTTAAAAGTCTTCATTTCTTTTTTAAACTCCGTGGCGAATCAAACTACCTCACATAAAATGAGACGGAGGAAGTAATATACATTGGGCCCGCGCTGGCGCGGGAACCTAATAACTAGTATATATATATATATATATATATATATAGCATGTCAAAACTCAAAAACTTCATCAAAATTGACATTATTAGTTTAAGGTTATGTACAGCTTTACTTGTCTGTTTTTCTGAATTATTGCATATATTTATTAATATAAAAAGAAAAAGTGTCATTGTCATTGCCATAACCATCTTGAAAACTTTATTTAGCTAGAATGTTCTTGTCATAAAAAAAAATGTTTTTGGCATGTGAAAGCTTTTCTTGTGAATTGCTCCAAGTCTTGATTTTACTTTCTACCTAATGTTTCCCCATTTAACAACTACTTTAAATTGTTGTAATGTTAATTATATAAAATAACAAAGTAATAAAATCCTTAAATTTAACATAAATAATTTATCTTGGCAATTACATGAAAGAAATTTGATAGACATAATTTATAATGTTTTGATCTATTATTAAAAATATAAGAGTTTGAGATTTACAAACGCATCTAAACAATTTTCATTGATTTGCTTAAGAAAACCCTTTGCAGTGATGCCTATTTTTAAGTATATGGATATTTGTTATTGCCTTTCCCCTCTTTTTCTTTTCTCTATATAAAAAATTCAAATGGATTTTAGAAATTTGACTGATTTTTTTTTTAAAAGAATTAATTACGTGTTCGACTCATCATTTGCCGGACAAAAGGATTTTGTAAAATCAGATGAATTTTTGTTAACTCGATATGAATGAACTTTTTTCTCAAATGAAAATGACATAGCCAAACTTTTAACAAATGACATAAATAAATCTTTTCTAAAAGTTCAATGTTATAATTTAGCATTTTCCCAAATTTTTATTACCTTTCCTTTCTTTTTTTTTTTCTATTAAAAAATATATATATTTGATATTGCGACTTGCGATGTATTGTTCTACTTCAAAAGTTTAAGAGGGTTGTAAGGCAGGGCAATTTTTTCACGAATAACCACTTTTTAGTATTAGGAATAAAAAATTAATCGATGTTATGTTTCAAATTTCACTGATGAAACTTTGAGATATTATTATTATAGTCTTACATATAAAATTTAACACTTCATAACTATGATTATTTTTCAAAGACATAACCAAATTTAATCTTTATATTAGTAAAATTCATAATGATTTCATTTCATTAAATCATACTTACGTTTATGCAAGACTGGGCGTGGGGGGGGGGGGGGGGAGGGGGGGGGAGGATCTAGTGTTATGTTTTATTTTATACGACTCGAGAATATTTTAAATTTCAAAGAATAAATAATGTAAAGTCAATTTCACATTTTCAACTTAGATAAAACCGTGTTTTCTTGGGATTTATTGTTAATCATTAATTACTTTAAAGTAAACATCAATATAGTATTTAGTTAATTTATTAATTTTATATATATATATATATATAGAGAGAGAAAATCTGAGATAAAGTAACTAAGTTCGATCTAATCGTCAGTATATGAAACAAGAAGCTTCATGTATCTATTTTTCAATCTGTAATTATATTCTGTGTGTCATTATGTTTGTCTTAATTCTAGTCTTTTATGAAAGTTACAAACAAGCATCTTCATCTTTGTTTTATAGCATGTCAAAACTCAAAAACTTCATCAAAATTGACATTATTAGTTTAAGGTTATGTGCAGTTTTACTTTGTTTGTTTTTCTGAATTATTGCATATGTCCGACAAAGTTTATTAATAATTTTTTTAAAAAGAAATTCCATATCAATTACATCTGATTAATTAGGGGTGACGTTAATATTTGTGGGCTAATTGCTTATTCTCTATATACATAAACTAATTTGAATTAACGATTTTGATTTTGACAATTAACATTAGTTTATGATTTATAGTAATAAGTATTTCTTACTTGTCCATTAGTTTTATATTATGACAGTAAATTTAAGGTACTATCACCAACAATGTTTGTGGTATACTAATAATTATATTATTTTTTTTTAATTAGAAATTTAGAGTTTAATTTGATCTCTAAGTATAAATTCATCTTTAATAGGGACGATTAGGAAACTCTTTTTACCTCCTACAACTAGTACTTTTCAATACAAATTCAACTTGATCAGGCCCAAAATAAATTCTAGACACAGACTGAAAACCAAAAAAGCACTATATATCAGACAAAACATGTGAA